CAATACATTACAGTCCAAAATAACCGATATTAATGCTTGCTATTGATGAAAAGTAACAAAAATAGTAAAATATTTGCATAATTTTTCATCATGATTTTTTTATGCCTTAAACTTGCTACACATCCATTAAGAATGTATAAAATTGGAGTAAAATGTTTGAACTTCATGTTTAAAGTTTAAAAAGTAAGCTTAAATAGCTTAAACATAAAAAAAATTACCAAAAAAGAATCGTCCATAATATTTTGCACGCACCTGATTTTGAATTTTAACGGTTTTTTCAAAAATTATTAACTATAGCATATTTATATTTTATCATGTGAAAGCACATGAAAAACAGTATAAGTGGTGAAAATTTCATCTAAATTGGACAACGTTAAGTATGCTTTTGAGAATAAAAACGAAATTTTTTTGACCGTCCATAATATTCTGCACGCTACTGTAGTTTGAGTAGCACTGCCTTTGTGAGATATCGTGAAAATTCAGGGAAATGTTCCTATGCCAATCCTTTCTAGGAACTCAGATGCTGACCACCTAAAGCTTCACTTCTGACTCAAATTATCCATTCGATAACCTATTATTCCTACAAATTGGATCCTCATCCTTATCTTAATTTCCACATAAAAATCCTCAAAACAATAACTTTGTCATACAACCACAAAAAGCTCGTTAATTCCCGCCATAAAATTTTAATATCCACCCCCTGTTATTATCAATTGCTAATTTCCTGCTCCCTTAAATTTCTCAATATTCATTCCAATTAACCAATTACACTTACTTTTTACAACTTTTATATTAGTTTAAATTGCATATTTATTATTTTCCGAGTAGCCCATCCCCATTTCCTACAGAACAAAACTCAGCACATATTTAAACACACACGAAGAAAAGCATCAGCAAACTAATATAAAAGTGAGAATGAGGAGAAATTTTCGGCCACAAATGGCGTATAATTAACGAATGAAAGTAATCATAATTAAGTTATCTTTCATCAGTACTCGACTACCTTTTGCCCTTTTTTTCTTTCTTTTTATTTCTATTTGTTTAAGCCCAATGGCGTCAGCCAATCCCACCGAAATTTTTCGTTTCTGCAAACACAACAGAAAATATTTTTTATTCCTTTATATTCTAAGCACGACGTCTAATGACGATAATTTCATTTTGAAGTTTCGAGACCTTTTTTGCTATTTTATTTGCATATTTTGACATTTGTTGGTAATGAGAAGGAATTGTTGAGGAGTTGTGGGTAGAATGCATAGCTAGGATGGGAATTGAAGTTGAGAATTGAATTTTTGGGATTGATTTTTGAGTCAATGTTTTTGATTTTTTGAAAAGAATATTAAATTGTTGTTTTTTGAGGATTTTGGACTGATCAGAGACAGAAAAAGTATTGAAAAATAAGGAAGCGACACTTCTGACTTTTAGCACTTAATGGAAAGCTGATAAAAGTCAAAAGAGGCTAGAAAGCAGGTTTATAGCTCATGTGTAGATTACATGAAGTTTAAGGATGAGTCTGAAGGTCTGGCTTTAAACCAGACTATAGATGTGCAGCCTGAATGTTAGCTTAGACCCTCTTAGTCCCTTTTCCTACTGTTAATGTCTTGATTGATGCCCGAGCGACAAAAAGTTTATGTTGACATGTGGCGATGTGAAGGCAACACCTTATTGAATTTCTCGGTTCGCAAAGCTGCTTCGTAACTAGTGTCGACATGGTGTTGCCTTGACGTTGCCACTAATCATAAGACAGCCATGCGAATGAAGAAATTCAATAAGAAGTTGCTTACACGTCGTCACCATGTCAACATGAACTTTTTGTCGCTCGGGCATCAATCAAGACCTGTTTTAACAGTAGAAAAAGGGACTAAGAGGGTCTGAGCTAACATTCAGGCTGCACATCTATAGTCTGGCATAAATCTTGACCCTTAGACTCATTTTTAAACTCCATTCAATCTACACATGAGCTATAAACCCAAAAAAATTTGCCAAGATTGATTTTAATTCAATCTAATTCCAGTCAATTCCCCAACTTCGCTTCCTTAACATCCAACTCTGACATCAAACAAATAAATTACTGCAAATTACTTAATTTGCACATAATTTATTGCCAAAAAATATTCACAACCAAAAACCTGCACCCATCCAAATAACAAATTTTCAGTAAATTTGTTATTCATTTAAAATTTTAACATTATCTACCGACAGTCAGTGCCAGAAAAAAAGCAGCTATTGAAAAACGCAAAGACACATTATTTATGGCTTAAGTAGGGTGACCATCTGCGTAGTTTTACAACGGACAGTCCTGTATTTCAAAACCCTGTCCCGTATAAATTTGAAAACTTTGTTCCAGGTCCTGTATTTTTATCACGAAAATTTCCGTTAATTTTCGAATTTTACTCTATGTCCTGTATTTTTGAAAAAATTTACCAAAAGTCCTGTATTTTCATGAAAATTAGATGGTAACCCTAGGCTTAAGTCGTAAGCGAAAAAAAAAAGCTTTTTAATTATGTGCTGCTATTTACGTGCTCAAATTAAATTATTCATGGATGTTCCATTCGGATGTGGAATCGTGCCAGTAATTTTTCTTGTACCCTCACAACCATTAAGTGTTGGATGTATAGCTCTGTAATATGTTTTGTGAAAAAAAAAAGAATGTATAAGAATGGAGCCATTTATCAATGGTTGGTTTAGTTATAGCAGATATGTGTACACACACATATAAACACGATCATTGTATGAAGTAATAGGGGAAATGTGATGTGGTTTTCAGCATAAATGAGCAGCAAGTTGTAATGTGTTGAAAAGAGCAATTGAAGCGTGTGAAAAATTTTCCCATTGTGTGCTTTAAATGAACAAGCACGAGCATCTTCTAGAAAAAAATTTCTTTAAAGAGTTTCCATCGAATTGTGGAGAATTTTCTTAAATGTGAAATGTAAAATCAATCGAGATGTTTACTCAACAAATGCTGCCAATTACGCAAAATGAATCTTAATGACGAAGGCAAATTGCGAACGAAAGAAAAAGCTTATTAAGGATAGAGAAGAAGATGAAGGAATTTTAAATTTTTTTAACTCGGAAATATTAAAGAGCTAGAAATTGAGGGGTGAAAAATAAAATTATGCAAAATTTTATATACAATGGATACGATCCTTGGAAAATTCTATGTGGCATACAATTTTGTGCCACATCCTAGAGAGGTTTCCCTCAGCTGCTTTACTGTTTGATTTTTAAAGAGTCTACAAACTCAAAGCATTCAAGAATTTTTTTTATTGAATTTTCTCATTTATCAAAATCTGTGTTGGTTTTGGATATATGGCTGGGGTCTGACATATTTTGAATGAGAATACTGACTTTGCTAGCTGTAGAGATCAATTGTGGGTCCATGCCCTGCGTTAAATGGGATTTGACGCTAGCTTTATCACTAGCTACCGATTAACACCACACAACACCAATTGAAATTCTGTCTTTTAGTAGCATCAGTCTCTTAAAAATTTTTAAACAATGCCTAGTCGAGATGCGATCTTTTTAATATGTCAACTCTTAGCTATAGCTGTATAATTAAACAAAATTGATTAAAAATGATTTAAAAGTGTCCATTTAATCATACATCCTTACTCTAGGCTAGTCTAGACATCTAAACTACCAACACTGTAAAGAAACTCAATCTTAAAGCCTTTCTTCTTCGAACAAAATAATCCCATTGCCCTTCATTCATCATTTTCTTGTTATCCTTATTATATAATTTTAAAGCTCTTCTTCTTGGAATTATTTTCGATTAATTTATGTGGGTGGAAAATCAATATTGACATAAATTCTTTGAAGAAATATACATAAACTTCTTGATAAAGGATTTATGTGAGAGAATCAGGAGCAAAAGGAGATGATAACTTGAAAATAGAACTTTACCTAAATAACGCAACTCGCTTAATCAAATAGAAATCAAGTACCAAGCTGGTGTATCTCTAGCATGGTGCTGTATTCAATTTGGGTCCAGCACCAAGCCAGAGTCACTCTAGCCAGATTCACACTGGCTTGATGCCGGATTTCTATTCGATTAACCGACTTGTGCTATTCGGGTTAAAACCTTTCTTGATTATTCCCTTTCAGGATCGAGAAGTTGGTTTCTAAGGCTACTCTAGTATAGTCAAAAGGAGTGTAAGGAAGTGGGAACTTTCATAGGGTTCAAGAAAATGAGATTTGGGGTTTAAATTTTTTTAATTTTAAAAACTATCACCACAAGCGTTCCGAATACTGTAGTGTAATGTCGTGAGCATTGTGTGAATCCTTTTTATATAATAACATTCTACATAATGGTTTTGAGAAGTCGGTCTCTGTTGGGAATCAAACCCATGGACTCACAAGAGAGTGATAAAGATTAAAGGTCTGTTGCCTAGCCACTCAGCTACAGAGGCTTTATTCTCGGAATGTCCGATTCGCCTATAAGTGGTTTCATACTCTAGATTCCCCTCTGCTCAGAAACCATATCTAGTAAGCTAATAAACCTACAAAAATTGTATGTATCTTTTAAGAAATACAAAGAAAGAAAAAGAAAGCAACCTTAAATATTATCTTTTGTCACTAGATAAAACAGCTATTTATATCAACTAATTCTCTCAAAGTATGTCATAGATACATAATAATCTAGTCATACTTGACCTTCCAAATATTCCAAGAACTACATACATCTAAGATTCAACACAAATCTCAGCACATTAATTCATCTAAATACCTCAATTTATTTATTTTCATAAAAGCATCTTCTATAATATATGACGACACACTTAAAATGTGTAACATACGAGAAAAAAAGTGGAACATCTGCAATTTATGTGACTCATTCGCGTTCTCTTTGGCAGTGCTTGTGATTCATATTAGATTCACACATTGTCTAAATGTGTTCGACTTAGCATTATTGACACGCAGAAATACACAAAAATGATGACTGCAATTGACATTAAATTTCATGGATCTGATCATTTATTTTTATTATTATCTTTCATTCGCAGGTCTCAGTAATGGTGCTATTCGATCGATACGCCTTGTCGTTGAGCCAGTTGCTGTACGGCGTGGACAGAGTGCAACACTTAAATGTCTTTACGATTTAGATGGTGCACCGCTCTTGTCTTTGCAGTTTTATCGTGGATCGGGTGAATTTTATAGATATTCACCATCCCAGCATCCGATGAAGAGAGTTTTTCCATTATCCGGTATAAATGTTGATGTAAGTAAAGTATTATAAGATATGGAACATAAAATATGAGAGTTTTGGGTTAACTTGTTGAGTGAATAAAGCGAATTTATAGCATTGACTTTTCAGAATGAATGGAATCTGAAGTCCATTTGTCATGGGTTTAGGTTGACTGATTCTGTACGTACTGTTGCTGCTGATAAACTGAGTTCTGAGTACCAGTAGACCTTTCCTACCCTGATTTAAACTTAAATGACATGTTTAAGCTACATTTATTAAAATTTGAGAGAATTCAGAGTTCAATAATACCCAGTCTAGCTTAATATCTATAAAACCTGACCCTCCCATTGCTATAAGCTCTAAAATTTCAACTTAACAACCAATCAGTCAAAACAATACCCCAAACTATAAAAAACTTCACTCCTTAAAAAATATGATCGAATGATTATCTATCTTAGATAGCGGTCGAGGGAGCTATTGGAATTGAAAAATCTATAAAAAGTATTACGAGCGAAATAGTGGAATAAAATATCATTTTTTAAGAGTCATGAATGCACGACATAAAAAATTTAACATCATAAAAAAATGAGAAAAAGCATAAAAAAATATTTTTATGATGACAGTGAAAAAAAATATTCTTTATGTGTAAAAATGCATTCAAATGATTACAAATGATATTGCTTGTGATTTTTATCATGCATCGAGATATCAAAATAATGTGGATTTATGAGCTTCAGACAGTTAGTTGAATGTTGAGTTCTTTGTTTTTTGTTCTATTGTAAAATGAAAAAATTCGAGATTTTTTAAATGATGGGAACTGACGTTATGAACAGGAAATAGGGGTACAGGGTCCCTGCTCTCTAGTTTCAACGATTTTTGACTATGTAAATTAAAAAACCGCCAGTAAAAAGTTTCTGTTCATTTCTCTTTAATTCCACTTGTATTTTAAGTGCAACATGATTCAAATGAAGTTCCAGCAAATTAAGAACCAAACAAATATCTGCAGTTAAATTCAGCAGTCAATTAACAAACCAAAAACTTCTCAAGTACCTTCTGTAAACTTTAAAATTCATAATTCTTATTAAAACAAACTCCTTGAACTTCTCAAAAAAATTATGATTCCAAATGATCTGCAGCACTTGAAGATTAGTAACAAAAAAAATTTTCCCATAATTTTATTTTCCTCTACAGACGAATGCATCAAATGCTACTCAAGTGGTAATTAAAAATGTAAGTTTTGGCCTCTCGGGGAACTTTTCATGTGAAGTGACGGCTGATTCACAGTCATTCTCTACAGCATCAGCAGCAGCACAAATGACTGTAGTTGGTGAGTAAATTAATTTTGTAGATTTTTTTTTGCACTTTAAATTGAGAATTGAAATATTAATGAATTATTTTCACTTCCATATTCCTATTCCATCCACAACTATAATCACCAACACAAAAAAAAATAAAATTGTGACAAACCAAACTTTAACAAAACCACACAAAATAGAGTTGCCAGAGTCACGTCCAACATTATGGACAGAATATGATCGTTATGAGCCGGGTGATGTGCTGAGAGCAAATTGTAGTTCACCGCCATCGAGACCACAAGCTGAGTTAACGCTTACAATTAACAATATTGTGGTGAGTAGCTTTTTCGTATTTAGTGCTTTTTATTGTTATTGTTATTATTCCTGTGATACTAAAAACCATGTCATATAAACTGGGGAGTGTATAAAGTGGAACGATAATAAGAAATTTATAACACATAAAATAAAATAAACATCACGATGTTCTGTGCAGTTGCATATATAGTTGCATTCATGTGGAGGGTTAGGGGATGTGATGATTTCGGTATCGGGTGTGGAATTTATTTTATTTTTGACTTTTTAGAATTTTTTGGGATTTTATTATGTTGACCAGTTTTGAGGAGACTGATGAGGGACTGGATCAATCACTTTTTGATCTTTTAAGATTGCTTGTTATCATTTCTACACTTTAGATTGAGGAGGTTAAGGTTTTCTAGGAAATTAGCAGGTTTAACATTTCTAGTGCTACGTGAAATAGCCTTCTAAAGCCAGAATCAAATTCTGCTTAATTTTTTGGGAGGATGTTTGGGTAGCCTTAGAAACTGTTCATTTTATAGCTCTAAAGATCCTGTAGGTTTAACATTTAACAGAAAAAATGAAACATTTAAACAACTTATTTGCAGTGGGGTTTGAACCCGAGCTCTCAAGATTTCTGATAGAATATTGTTACGACGAAGTTTACCACTATTGAGTGTTATTAAGAAGCTTGACAGAATGTCAACATTATCTTCTAATTGGTTTTTTTGAATGGTATCATTAGCATTGATGGTCAAAAACTAGCTATTTCGACTTTAAGATCCTTACATGCATGTAATATAGAGCCAAAGTAGTAGTTTAATAAGAACAGATGTGTCAGACGACGCTTTTATTCATTAATCACATTTTGAGAAGGATCAGAACTCCTTTAATGATATTTCAATCTAGAAGCTTCAAAAGAAGGATTTATAGCTAAAGTTCCGGGATATGAAGTTCGAGAAAAATAAATTTAACATTCCTGGTTTCAAACCAATTTCATTTTTATAGATATTGCAATAATTAGGTACAGAAACATGAAATCAATAGCTCGTTAAGCTACTTGTGCTCATTTTTTGTAAAACAGCGAAACAAAACTGAATTAACAAGGAAGTCGAAAGCTTCATCCTCCAATTGACCTTTTATTATCCAAACAAACCTCTCATTTAGTCTAATCCCAGATGAATGCTTATCGTATGACAAAATTTCACTTCCATTTCCTTGAATTCCCTAACAATAATAATAATAAAATATGTTAACAGCACTTAAAAATATCCCCGAAGCACATTCGTATTTGTTCACTAAAATGAAAAGTTTTAGTTTTGTGTCGACAAAAAAAAGGAGAAAGACCGTAATGTTGATATTTCTTCAGGCATAAAATGAAAAGAAAAAGAATAAAAAAAAAACTAAAATTTTTATCCTAACAAGTTGAGCTTTTTGAAAAACATTTCATATGAAGCTTTTAATCCATTTCAACATACATGCAATGGCAATGATAATATTTTCACAAATATAACATGATATGCAATGAGTTGCAAATGCCACTCTTAAATAAGACCCACACACACATGTGAAAATTTTTGTGCTAACAAAAACATAACGTAAGAGATTTATTCCTTCACATGTGAGCATTATGTGTCCAGTCATGTATGGAACTTCTTTCATTAGAACAACTTTGGGGTTGAGTGCAAGACATGGTATGAAGAATAAAAGAAAATATTTTCATATGTCAGAGGATTTATGAAAGAACTGAAAAAAAAGTCCTGTATGCTTTTTGATGGTTTAGCTTAAAGTTTACAGTTTGTAGCTTTGAAATTGACTTTAAAAAAGATAAACTTTAGCATTCAGATCCATAGCTGTGCGTTTTATGCGTTACAAGGCTAATGATAATTTAACAAGAGAGCGTTCGCCAGACTTCTTGCTACAACCTAGACTTTCAATTTATAGTGGGATTTGGAACCACTACTCTTATTACATTTCTGCCTGTAGCCTTTAAAGGAAGGCTGTGAGCCTCATTTCCAGGACATATGATTTGAAAAAGGACAAATGAAAAGTTTCCATTCCGAGTCTCGAACTCACGATCGCTGAGTCAGTATTGCAATAATTAAGTACCAAACTACTAAACCAATTTGCCACCGAGTCACTTCAGCTCACAAGCTCACTTCAGCTTAGAAATTTACTTAAATTAGTAGTGTTTTGGATGTCGAGAATGTTCATAATGAGATCTAAAGTTAAAATAAACTGAAATAGTTTCCAACAATTAAAATGAATTCAAAAAAATGAACCTTCAATCATGAAATCCGCTTGATAAATTAAGATTAGAATAAGAATGAGATTTTAGCCAAATAAAAATGAAAAATGGCCATTAGCCAAATTAAATAAACTTTAGAGCTAAAGCATAGAAAGAAGTTTATCTTAAGAAAATAAATTATTTCAGTTCAAATTCAAGCAAAAAAATATCTTTTTTGAAAAATAAACTTGTGTGCATGAGAATTTTCAATGAATGAATTATGGCATAGAAAACTTTCTACTTCAATTAGTATAATAAAGTTTCGATCGAGGCAAAGAAAAGGGGCAAAATGAATGTGAATTAATGAATAAATAGAAAATGAAAAAGTTTTAGTTTCTCATGAGATTTTTTTTTTTTGGGGCTATTGAATTCATAAGATTAATTATGGATTATTCAATCAGGACAAAAATAATTAAGATGAAGAAAATTAGAGAATAAAAGAACTGTGTGGCCTAATCAAGAGCATTGAATTGCATAATTCCGGTATTGATTGAATAATTAGAAGTTGGTAAAAAGATTTTTCTCAATTATCGGTTGTTCTTTATGCGAGGAAATGCTGACTCTCCTACAAATCTTGACTTTTTTGCACAATTTAGATTTTCGACACAATTTGAATGATAGATTAGGATATTCACATTATTTGAATGTAAAGACACCTGAATCAGCAACTCTAGTGTAAAGACACCTTAACCTAGGAGCTCTAGTGTGAAGAAAGAACAATGAACCTCTAGTGTGAAGACACCTGAACCTAATAGTTCAGTGTGAAGTCACTTAAACCTAGGAGCTCTAGTGCAAAGACAATTGAACTTATAAACTCTAGTGTAAAGACACCTGAACCTAGGAACTATAGTGTGAAGACACCTTAACCTAGGAGCTCTAGCGTGGAGAAAGAACAATGAATCTCTAGTGTGAAGACACCTGAACCTAATAGTTCAGTGTGAAGACACTTAAACCTAGTAGCTCTAGTGAAAAGACACTTGAACATAGAAACTCTAGTGTGAAGACTCATGAACCTAAAACCCTAGTGTAAAGCAGTTGAGCCTGGTTGCAATAATGTGAAGACACCTTAACCTAGTACCACCAGCATGAAGGCACTTGAATTTAGTAGCTCTAGTGTAAAGACACTTGAACTTATGAACTCTAGTGTAAAGACAATTGAACCAAGGAGCGCTAGTGTGAAGGCATCTAAGAACCTAAGAACTGAAGTGTGAATGCACATAAAAATCAAATATAATTTGGATGATTATAGTTGTTGAATAATTCTAAGTTGCTAATTTGAGAATCAAACCCAAGAACCACAACAGTTGAACACAACATAACAGCACAGCTCAATCATCTAACCCAATTCATGAAAATTCAAACAAATTCAAACCTCAACGAATCTTCCACATTAATAAAATCACCTCCACATTCAATTCAAATCATCATCTGCATCCAGCTATCAAAAGTCGCTCATCTAACACAAAATTTTACATCATCTGCATCAAATATTTGGATATGAAGTCCATTTCGAGCATCAAAAATTGACATTTGGTATCTCAATATCAATTTATTTTCGATAGAATCAATATTGGATTATTTTCACGACTCAATATGTTCAGCTCCATATTTACAATTCAGTGAAGCTAAATCTAAGCGATAACTCAAAATATTTTTTTGCCTCCTTCCCGAATAAAACATTTTTTAGATCGAGTGAAAGCGGATTTGTTATCAGCACATTGTGGAAGTGAGTGAGAAAAATTATACAAAAAGCAAACATGAACAGCAACAGCAGCAGAGAGAGAGAAGATTTTTTTTCGGATGTGAAAAGCTTCATTGTGTCTAACATTCTGCCTTGTTGCTGCTTGCCTGCTTTTTATCTCGTAAAGCATAAAGTAGCAGCATTTGATGCGCAAATATTTTCATAGGATTTTCTATAGCATACAATGTACACAAGTACATATGGCATATACATATCTATGACTATGACAACATTGACGATGATGCACACAAAAGGAACGGCATGTGACAAATATTTTAGATCCAAGGCTTTCTATTTTTATTAAGGCTTTTAGATTTGTTGGGTTTTATGATCGTGATTTGTCTCTTGAGATTTTGCAGGGGGTTATTTTAGGGAGTTTTAATGGCAACCTTCCTTAAGATTGAAAACCGATAAACTAGAACATTTAGTATGAAGCATAAATGACTGTTATGACCAACATACAGCCTTTAAAACTAGAATCTAAATTACATTTCTTCAAACTAGACCTCCTCCTGCTTCTAGCATCTACACTCCCCTCTCTGATTTCATCTGCATTCTTATATGATCCTATAAATCCCTTAAGGGTTGTTCATAAATGACGTCACAACACGAGGGGAGCAACAAGCTCTAGAACACTAGAGCTTCTTGGAATTCTAATGTTTGCTATTTAAAAAAAAATAACGATTTTCTCAGACGTCATTTATGAACGATCTCCAAGAGCTCTAACCTTAAAAACCTTGCTGACTACATAAATTATTGGCAACATTGTGTCTGCGTCCATCAAAACAGCAATATTAAATACACAACATTGCCCCTTACAACTCTTAAAATGCGCTTTAGCCCCATCCACACCCAATTACTCTATTACTTTCACTCCCACTCATAGATGATAGAGATTTAGAATGTTTGTCATAAAACTTAATTGCATTCTATTGTCGACAAGTTTTAAGCTTTGATGCTTCTCCTCTTTAGCCTCCATCCTCCCCACACTATCGACCGCAACAATTTGAAGATTTTTCTTCGTCAGTTGGATGATTGTGAAGTGCTTGCTTTTTAAATTAAAAAAAAGTCTCCGTTTGATGATAAAAAAATTGAAAAAAGCTCATGTGCACTCAGTCATTCACAGAGGAATTCACCGCAAACATGATGACAAGGCTTGTGTGTATGCGCTACCTTGAATGTGATTTTTTCACTCAAGTTTGCTTTTAAATTGTAGAAAAATTCTTGATGCATACTTTGCACAAGAAAATGTTCTTTGAGCTTTTAATTTACCATTTCCAGTTCGCTGATTGTCTGGATTAAAAATCCTTTTTTTACTGTGTGTCCTTTTTGCCACCTTAAATAAATCTTTAAAAGAACAAGAAATTGAGTGTCTACGTGACATAAAATGCCGTGGATTTTATGATAAATTTCATCATGTGCTTCTTTTGTGTAAGTTGAGATGAACGAAAAATTCACTTAACTGAAAGTTGCTGCTGCGGCCCACTCCAAAAATTTGATGCTCTTTTGTGTGAAGTTGAGGTGTGATGAGGCAAAGACGCAGAATGAAGAAGTGTGAAAGAGGTTGGCGACAAAAAGGTCGTGATGATAAGGTTGCCAAGCATTTAATAATTTTTCGTCAGGGTAACTTGAACTTTGGTATGATTGGGAAGGTTAGCTGTTGTGGCTTTAATTTGCGACTAGGGGGTTATTTACATTTGTTTAATTATTTGTGGACTTTTGGGAAATTTAATGCTGTTTTGTTTGTGCGTGTGTATGGAGGACCCCCATCGACATGCATCAACATTAGCTCAGCCTTATTGTCTTCTTGTTATCGTTTCTAATAAAATTGTGATGATTAATACTAATATAAGGATAAATGTATGCAGGTTTTTAGTTTATGTGATACTTAGGAGCTTATTCTGGGCTTTCTGCACTTCTTAATGTGCGTCTTCATCTAAGACGTCCAAGACGTTCACCTATCTTGCTAGCATCTTCCCACTTACACTTTTTAAATAATAATTCCTTACTCCTTTCTTCCAGGTCTACTCAGCAGATCTTCAATACTTCAAGACAATTGAAGGCCGAACAGCATCAAAGATCAACATGCGAGTTCAATTACAAAGCATTCATTTTGGCGGTGGTCCAGTGATGAGCGGTGGTGGACAATTAATATTACGATGCACAGCACAAATAGGAAATTTCTATCAAGAATACACGGAAAAGGAATTGGGGGTGCCACAAAAGGATCCGGTTCCAGCGAGAGGTGGGTTAATTGAATTTTTAAAAATAAATGTTGATGGAATTTGAGGTTAATTAAGGACGAAATTCATTTATGGATATAAACTTGATTTATGGCAATTAAAATTTAATTCAATTTTTTTAATAAATAATTTTTTGAAACAACTTTTTAATTGAATTAATTCTTTCAAATCTTTTTCAAAATTTCCTTTACTGACTAGTAAAGCTCTCTGACCTTCTTGAACAATCTAAGTAACTTAATTAAAATTTCATTTCTAATTTCGAACCACAAGTTGAAGCTTATAGTGAAAGTTTTTCGATTTACAAAAAAAATCCTTTTTTGTTCTGCTCGTAATTTTTTATCGTATTATTAAAAATTTTCCTTATTATTAGACAATTGAGTAGAGAGAATTTTTTCTATGTGAATCCCTCAATTATGACCTTTTTCTATAAGAATGTCGAGTTCGTTATTTTAGGGAAAATCAATTTTTGTTTTTAAATTGGGAAGATAGGGGGTCAAATATTGTGGACAGAATAAATTGAATTTTAATATTTTCAACTTTTTCTTAAAAAAAATCAAAAAAATTTCTAAAATTGTAATAGATTTCAAAAATTTCAATAGTTTCAAAACTTACAAAACTTTCAAAAATTTCAAAAATTTCAAAAATTTCAAAAAATTTCAAATAAAGTCGTGAAATTAAAAATAGTGCAAAAAGTTCAAAGAAAAAATTTACAAATTTCAAAAAATTCAAAAACTTTAAAAATAATTTCAAAAGATTCAAAGAACTTTAAAAAACATTTTAAAAGATTCAAAATGATTTAAAAAAATTTAAAAAAATTTCAAAGAGTTTCAAAATAATTCAAAAAAATTTCAAAAAATCTCAAAAATTTCAAAAACTTCAAAACCTTCAAAAACTTCAAAAAATCAATAGTTTTGTTTAAAATTCAATTTTTATTTAACATATCCAAAAAACATTTAGGTATCAAACTTATAATCCCCCTATCATTTAGCCTTTAAGACATGCTCCATTGACTATTCAACTTCCCAAAACCTTTTCTAAATTACAATGAGAATAACCTCAAATTCCACAAGCTCAACATGATTTTAAAAACAGATTTTTATAAAATAGAAAATTAATTAAAAACTTTTTTTTATTCTGTTTTTATTTCCATTGCCGCTTCCAACCAAAAACAAAATCAACAAATTTAAACTTTTTCTCATCATTTTCAAACTAAAATTGAAATCAAAAAACAGTTACCTCCTCAATTGCTGTAGAAACAACAAGAGGATCACTTACATACAGCATCATAGCATTTACATTCATCACATTGATATACCAACAATTTTCGAGATAGTTAAATTAAGATGGGAAGTAAAATAATGATGAAATCTAAAAGATAAAGTTTTTTTTCTTTCTCCACATATTTTTTATGATTTTGAAATGAAAATAAAAAACATAAATGTGTGTGTATATGTAAAGATGCTCCCACTTTTGTTGCTTCAAAATGAGAAGTGCATCATACATGTAATTTTATATTTTTTAGCTGAACATAAAAAAAGGAAATGTTATCTCGTTTTTTAAATTTTTCTTCTCTTCTTCGTTTGTTCCTTCATTGTTTCATGAAATGGAAGAATTGATATGATGCAAAAATCAAGCCTTTGAAAAGTTGATTTTAATGAAGTTTGATGAATAAAAGAGCGGGAGTTGAAAGCTTTAAGTTGGAATGCACTTAACAAACAAAATCTATGGTTTTAAGGTTTAAGTATGCTAACGACCTAGCATGTTTAAAATATTTTTATCTTTAGACCAGTGCTTCTCAACCTATGATCTGCGATGCAGTTTTGTTTCGAGAGAATCTTTAATTTTTTTTTCGTAAGAAGTTTAATATGTCGAGGTCAAAAAAGTTTGAGACCCACTGCTTTGGACCATCAACTTCTGCTTTGAAGGACATCCAAGAGCTGAGAGAGTCTTGTCTCTAACAAAATGAATTAGAAGTGTTGGACTAAGGTTTTATAGCTTAAAAACCAAATCAAAGTCTTAATTTTGTCAGGTCTACTCAAACAATCCTCCACGATACCCTTTTAAGCCACCAAAACCATCAAGTTTTCCAGAAAACACAAAATATTTGCCACATTGTAACATTCCTTCGTTGAACATTTCGTCTTATTGTTCAACGTTTCTCGTTCCTTAACAAATCACATTCGTCACGAACTCATTTGTCTTCCAAATGTATTTAAAATGTTATATAATGCAACACGTACATTCGCATTCATTCTCATTTTCTTTGAAAGCATTTTTCCTTCTTTTATCTCAAGTTCCTCTTAACCTACATTGCTTGTCTATCAATATTTATCTTCATTTTTAAATAAAGAATGTTCAGTAAATGTTTGTTTTTGTGTTTCTTAACTCATCCTATGAGTTTTTCCTTGATTGTGGTTGTTGGGTAAATTTTTCTATTGATGTGATTTTCAAGCTTTAATAAATAATTGTGACTTAGTAGGGACGTATATTTAATTGTTGAACTTAGTAGTGCTGGATTTTGAATAGCTTATAAAGTTCTGTGGTCTAAAACAGTGTTGGGAAGTCTTTATTGAGTCATTCTACAGTCTAAACTTTGTAAAGCGGAACTTTACTGTTCCGCAAAATATTTCTAGATGTGTCAATAGTAGTTGCCAGCGTGGGGCGGGAACATGAACGGATGATCTACTGCTTCTTCACTGCTCCGTGTTCTGAAAAGTTTGAGAAAAACTGAACTAAAGAGTCAAATGATATCATTGTGCACCTAGTAGAGTCAATATACTGATATAAGCAGATTTCAAATAAGTTTGGCACATTATAGAGGATGTAAGGTCAAATTCCAACAATTTCTGCCGTGACTACGCCACAATGACTGACAAATGATCTTAAAAAAGACTAGTTTTAAGTCAAGTTTAATGAATTTTGTCTAATAGATTCAACTTAAAATAAAAACATTCATCAAAACTCTTCAAAAGCTTGATTGTGCTTTAATCTTCATTCAGAACATCTATCAACTAATCCAATTGAAAGCTAACAATGCGATTTAAATGAAACAATGAATAAAAAGCGAGATGAAAAAACGAGAAAGAATGAAAAACTTTTTCTTTATTATTAATTTGTTTCATATATGATTGTGATATAAAAAAAATGAGAAGAAAAAAAAAATTAAAAAAATAAAAATTAAATAAAAAAGCGATTTGTAGAAGTTTAATGTGAAATTAAACAGCAGAAAGAAGAAAAGTTAAGGTTAAAAGTAAGTTTAATTAAAATTTAATACATACACACATAAATATGATAAGTTTGTGTATACATAAGGATATGCATACATGGAAAAATTATAAATATGAATATATATACATAAATGAGATACAAGTTTTGTGCAATAATTGTTAAGAGAAAAAAAAATGTTATCAGAATGAACAGTGATGTTTTCAGTTTCTGTAGAATGGGAAAATTTCGGAATTTTTCAAATGAAATTTTTAATTAAAAAATTGAATGAATGACTAAAGTTTCGGAATAGTTTGATTAAAAATTCAAAAAATTAATTCACAAAATCTTTTTAATTAACACAAAAATAATTCATCAAATTAATTTAATCTAAAATTGGAACCATTAAACCTCAAAATCACAAATTTAATAATTTTCACAATTTTTTGAAACATAACTGGTCCGTCTGTAAATATATGAAAGTGAAAGAAAATTATTAAATGAATTATTTAAAGACCCTAGCTGGAGCTGGTTGATTGATGTTACTTAGTGTTGGCTACATCTTACTTACTTACTTCGCTGGTCGTACAGATCAATTGTAATCCATGACCTCCCTTATACTTTAAGTGGCTATACCTTAATGTGCACTAATCAATCGGTTCTTGAAGAATTCACAAGCCCAAAAGGCACACGGCATTAAAAATGTAGCAACACGCCGAATTTCACCAAATTCGAAGTGGTGCCACGATCGTGCGATGCTGGACGCTACATTCACAGCCATGCACACGTCGTGTGTCTTTTGGGATAAAATCACCAACAAAAAAATCCAAATTTTGAAAATTCTTGCTTTTAAATCGTCATTAGTCATTAAATGATGCTCAGAGCTGCTGATTGCAATGCCAAATTAGACAATGAATTGAACTTTCACGTCTTTGACTTTGCTTGACAATGAATCCTTGCAAATCGACAACTTATGCAATGATTGAGGGCTCAGACTTTGATGGGAAATGAACCAACGTCTTCATTATAAAATGTGTTGTCTAACCTTTCTCGACTACACAAAGCTTATTGTCACTATGGCAGATTAGCCTCTACATGGTTCAATATCACATAAGGAACCCTTCATTCTTCAATATTGACCATTACCTGATCTCTTGACATCTACTTCCAGTCCACTTAAGATAGTTTCATCTTATGTAAAGTCTACAAATTGTATCAAAATTCCACAAATTATTTGAATGGACGAAGTACCTTCAATATTTGAAGACTTAAGCAAATTTGCCCGAATCCAACATATAATCTTATCCATCTCATAACCTCAAAATAACCCCAACAAAGATGAAATATCATAGAATATAAAAGCACAGCAATCAAAATCCAATGTCATTTATATCATGTGATATGCTACAGTAAACTATTAATTTAGTAAATACTTACCTTACATCTTTGTTTGTGTGTTACATGATGTGAGCTATGACATGTAACCTTACAAATGTGTATATTTTGATAAGTGAGACTATCAATTATATTTTGTGGTTTATACACTTTTGACTTTTCAAGAGCTTCCAAAGTTATGGGATTTGTGGTTCACGTCATGTGAAGATTTTTGATTTTAAAATTGAAGCTTTTCGTCTCTTGTAGCCCACACATACTCATATAAAATTTAAAATTCACAGATTATTCACCTTAAAATCTTTTGTCATAATGCAAAGCAATCACTAATTTTGAATGATTATTTTTTTTAAATAAAAAAGTAGCATAAAAAGTATGAAAGAAAATTTTTGTAAAAAAAAGTGAAAATGAGGAAATGATTTATATATTTCTACCGTCTATCTAGCTATCCCCACTAAAGTGTTGTAATAATGCAAGCAAAAGAAAATAAATTACACATTTATATAAGAAAATAAATGAATTAATGATGCATAGAATAAAAGTTAATTAAACCTTGCGGGAATGTCCATGGATTTTTGTGGTTGGGGTTTGAGGGGGAAATTTTTGAAATTAAGGTTGAAAATGTCTGGTCGGGAGCTAGGAGCGGTTTCTAAGACTATCTGAGGTACGAAAGAATCGAAAATTGATGAACTACAGTTTAAGGTGCAAAAAAAAGTTTGACTATGACTTGGAAATGTGCCTTGATTGGTCTTAGAAACTGGCTCCTGACACTGAATTGAGACACTATTTCGACTTAAGTCTTAATTTTGGCTCAAAAATTCAATTTTCATTGAAAAATAGTATTTATTCCTTTGAGCAATCATAAAAAGTACAGACCATGGCATAAAAATGATATTTGAGTTCTATGGTCGATGTCAAGCAATTTATTAAGGTTGCCACTCCACCAAAGTACTCCAATGTCTCAATTTTAGTGCTCTGATGATTCCAAAACCTTAAAAAATCACCAAAGCATTAATAAACCTACTCCAGAACCACCTCAATTTAAAAATTCCCCCCTCTCATCCCCACCTACCGAAAATCAACCCCGCAAAGCAAGCACTGCACGAGCTCGATACCAAAAAAAGGCAGAAGTAAAAAAAAATTGACACCTTAAAGCTTCGGATATCATAAAAGTTAGGAATAATAAAAAATTTGCAATTTAAGAAAACAAAATTTTTTTTAATAAGAGCTTCAAAATTCACTTGAAAAATTAATGTAATGCCCTGTTGAGGAAAGCTACAACAAAAGAAACTCCTTTTGTTTGCAGAAGTGATTAAGAAAGTTGTAAAGTTTCTTATTAATTTAAAATGAAGGAAAGAAAAGTGCGACGACGAAAGAAGATTTATGAAATTTAAGTCTGGAAATTTGGATTTTTTTTTGCTTTGTTTGCGATTTGGATGAGGATGCGGTTGGAGAAGTAGAAGAAATGAATTTTTTACTTCAGAAGATTTTTAATTTAAACAGATTTGGAGATTCAATGAACTTTTGCAGGGGGTTTAGGTTATATAATGGTGTCATACACCTTTGATGTGACAAAAGTTTGAATATTGGATGAAGGATGATGGAGGTGAACAGTTAGATTTGATTAGACAACTTATTTTGTATTTACTTTGAATTAAGTTCTTGTTTCATTTGTTATCTGGAAGTCAATCAGTGTCAAACTTTGACTCTACATATGTAGTAAGATTCAATTTGTCTTGATAGAAAAGGTTGAACAGAAAGACTTAGTATAGATTCTCGCTGATCATGATAGATTTTGCATCTAGTCAGATGATCTAGATTCATAGAGTAGTTAGGTTTTCAGGAGATCTGAACTAAATATCTTAGATGCTTCACAAAAACCATGTGTAAATCTTTCTATAACTGCTGCATGTGTATACCAATATAAAACAAGTAGGGTTCAATGGGAATCGAACCCACAACATCAAAAGAGACCATTTCTGACTAATAGTTCAGATATCCCTGCCATTCGGCTCCTGAGTTACTTATCTCACTTTGGCTATCCATCATACACAAACAACCAGTTTCACAGTGAGCCCTATGCTCAGGTCCATCTACTCTTGATATGCCCTTCAAACCATATCCACAACAGGCAATTGAGTTTAAATTTTTGGAAAAATCCCAAAAGAAAAATTGTCAATTGATTAGTTCCTTATCTACAAAAACAAAATTAGATTCAAGCATCGCATCCAGTATCCAAATTAAAATTCAGTTCAAGCTCCAAAATTTCCAGCTTTTCGTCAGTCTTCCTCACAATACAACCAAAAAACAATCTACCACGTTTTCGCCTGGATAGATAAACAACAATAAAATAGCTAAGGAACAAATCCAAAAAAAAAGAGAAAACACAAACAAAAAATAAATAAATTCTTGTGAAGTACACAAGCAGAAAAGTCATGAAGTGCAAATAAAATTGAAATTTGTAAATAAAACACTTAAGGATGATTATAAAAATAAGTCACATAATTCATTCCAGCTAAAGAATAACGAAGATGAATATAATTAAATTTACAATAGGACAAAAAAAATGAAGTAAGAAGATGATTTTTATTTCATGGCAAGAACGAGCAAAAGATGTAGAAATGAAATTTTGTTTTGTGTGGATAAAAAAAAACTTTGCAAAATTTTACTGAAAATAAAAAAAAGGAAAAATGAGAATAAATTAACATAAAATGTGAAAAATTTAATTTGTTTCGTTTTATTATTAAAAATCATTTTCTGGTAAGTTTTGGGGTCGTTCAATAATGACGTCCAATAATGACGATTTTCAGGAATTTCTATTGTTCTTTTCTTGCTGACCCTCCCCCATCCTCCCTAGACGCCATTAGTGAACGGCCCCTTTGCAATTTCAGTGTGATTTTGTGTCATTCAATTAGAGTCGACCCCAATTTCAACAATTTTCAGACATCCTTAATTGAATTAAAATTGAAACAATAAAAAGCATTTATAAAACTTAGATAAAAACTTACAATTTTAAACTACCAAAAAATATAAAATCTTCAAAACTTTAACTAAGAACAAGAAAAAGCAAAAAACTTTTCCAATTTATAGCTTAAATCCAAAAATAAAAGAGAACAAAAAGAAAGACAGCAAAATCTTCATACATGAAATCGATAATAATAAAACCAAGTAAAGCACAATAAAGTAACGAATAAAAAGGAGAGAGAAGAGGAACTCTTTCCACAACAGACGGAGCAAGTAAGTATGAAAGTATATATAAATGCTGTAAGTATTTTCTATATTTACTTAAGGAATATCCAGAGTTGGTTTTGAAGAAGACTTGTCTGATGAACGTTGTTAAGTCATTAGACTAATGAAGGATTGCATGGAGGCAAGACAGACCTAGTGTGGCATCTGAGCAGAGGCACCGAGTCCATATGTAAGCGAATCTGTGTAAAGTGTGGGTTCAATTCCCTCCAAAGTTTGACTTCTAGCACTTCCCAAGTACACTAATCTTAGGTGAATAAAGTGGATATCAAGTAGTACTAGAAACCGGCTCCAGATTGATCTTAGTCATAACATAAGTTGTTCTTCATATAAGAGGATTTCTTGATGCTTTCGAAATTAGATTTATGAATTTTCCTGCAGCGTATGACTCAATTCTAGTTTTGCACACCACAATCTACTCAACCTATCGTTTTGAAGCACTGTATCGCTCCAGTGTGGCAAGTCTATCACAATTATTTAATAGTTCAATAAGACAGTAACGAAAGGGTTTGGATCTGATCCAATATGGCCAAAATAAAGGTAAAGCATAGAGAGGGACCAGCTTTTTGAGCTGAAGGCACTGTGATTAAAATTAAAACAGAATCAATTGTAACATATCCTTTAGACCTACAGTTTATAGTGGAATCCAAATCACTTGTAAGCTTTGCACTTTGCAAAGACATGAGTCCGCCTAAACACCTGATTTAGTATGCCTAGCAAAGGAGACATATTCTGTGTCGAAAACCTTAAAACTACACCAACCGAGCTTCAGAACAGGAAAGCTTCTAAAACTTGACTTTGCTTGGGATTGAACCCACAACCATTGGCACGTAAGGCCAACGCTTTACCACTTAGGCAACTGATGCCATTTCACCACATGATCAAAAGTCAGTTCATGACAAGAACTCTTACCCAAAAGTAAATTGATATCAAAAAATTTAATCCTTATACAAATCAAGCCCACCTCTGTAAACATCATACAAGGAAGAACAAAAAGAAAAAATAAATATACTTATAGAAAAGAGATAAAAGAGGAATTGTGTATGAGTAACGAAAAGAAAGACTCGAGCAAGTCATAAAAATCAAATTTTTTCGCCATAAATGTTTGTATTGTTGATGTGAAAATAAAAACAGAAGCTGAGAGAAGAAAAGAAAACAAGAATGAGAATGAAATGAGGAACGATGAAAAAAGAAGAAGAAACAATAAAATGTTTGGAAAAATATTATTCGAATGCTTTGTATTTTCTTTATACTTTTTTTATTTGTTCCATCGCTGAGGTGTTGGTGAAATGTGGTTGAATGGAATAAAAATATCATTGACTGAATGAGGCTGTGAATTATTAACCTCAACCCACTAGCTTTGTGTGTGTTTTTTTGGATTGAGTAAATTTTTTTATATTTCATATTTTTATTTTTATGTACTTTCTTTACCAGACTTTATTATTTTCAGCCCTATTCATCATTGTCGATAGATTGCTTATATTTTTTAAGATATTTTAGGATGTATTTGTATGAAACTAGGTTTGATTTTGAAGCTCAGTTAAAAAATAGAAATTTTGGTTTAAAGTTCAGCCCCAGAACTGAAGTGTTGCTTTGAAATTCAGCCTTAAAATTTAAGTGTTGCTTTGAAGTTTTTCCTTAATATTTTAACTCAGCTTCTAATTTGAAGTTTTATTTTGAAATTAAGCCTCAAAACTAATATGTTGCTTTAATGCTCAGCCTCAAATTGAAGCTTGGCCTTAAAATTAAAGTGTTGCTTGGAAGTTCAGCCTCAAAATTAAAGCTCAGTCTTAAAACTGAAGTGTTGCTTCAAAGTTCAGCCTCAAAATTAAGGTGTTGCTTTAGAGCTCAGTCTTAAAACTGAAGTGTTGCTGTAAAGTTCAGCCTCAAAATTAAGGTGTTGCTTTAGAGCTCAGCCTTAAAACTTAAGTGTTGCTTTGAAGCTCAGCTTTAAAACTGATATCTTGCTATAAAGTTCAGTCTCAATATGTGGAGCTAAGCTTCAAAGTGAAGTGTTGCTTTGAACTTGGCCTCAAAATAAAGTCTTGCTTTTAAATCGAAGCCTCAAATTAAGCAACGCTTCAAAACTAATATAATGAACCCCAAAATAAAGTTCCTAATTATTTATGACCACATCAGTGATACAAATAAATGAAAAACTTTTGTCCCCTTAATTAAAAATTACCCAATAAAATTGCCAAAAAAAGCAGTTAAGCTAACTTTCAATAATTTTCATAACCAAAAGAATAAAACTCATTTCAAACTTCCCCCCTGCTTCTCATATCTCACTTCCTACTCATTTTCATTCAAAAAGAACCTCGAACACACAAAAAAACACTTTCCGATTCCATACATAGACGTAAATGTAAAAACTCATAAACATGCAAATACCGAGAAGAAAAAAAAAAAGAATTTGCAATGACTCTGCAAAAATGTGTGCCGAGATATTATTGGAAAAGAAAGGAAAATTGAGAATGAAAAGCGATAACCTTTATCATCTTCATAGCTCGTCGTTATTTTTCTTTTATGTGCCGCGCCACTTGTTTTTCCGCTAAAAATGTTACGAGAAAGAAAGTTTTATGCTTTTATAACTTTTAACATAACAATTACTGGCGAATAAAAGAAGAAAAAAAATTATACGATGGAAAATGAAAGAAAATTATTGAAGGATTCACTTTTATTTTGCGGTATTGTTCTTAGCAAATATTATAAGGGGAGATAATGGAAATTTAATGATGTAATTGTTGTATTGTGAAATTTTATTGTTCTCGCTTTGTTGCATTATTTATTTTCTGCTAAGGAGAGGTGGATAGGGATTGTAGCAATCTAGTCCTGCAATTTTGCTTTTGAGTTTCAATACCCCACAACTCCCCCCCCTCCCCCCATTTGAAAATTGTAAATTAGTAAATCAAACCAATAAATTTTAAAGAAAATTCAAAATGACAAGAACAACATTTTTCAAGCTTCATTTCTTAATTAGTCCATCCAATCTTTCAAAATAATTTAAAATTAATTCCAAGAAAATTAAATTATAAATCCACAGAACAAGAAAATGCCGATCTTATCGAAAACATAAATTTTCATATTACAGAAGAAAAAAAAATTCCAAATCAGCAGAAAAAGGAGTCAGTAACCCAACAGTGAAAGTGCTTTGCCTGTCTTTCATGCTGGCAGAAGAATTCTCTTCTGCTTGTTTTGCTACCATTTACCAATGTGAAAATAAATCTTCTCATGACCTCGTAATGAATTCCATTCCGCGTTTTTTGGTGTTTAAAAATTTTTTTACTTCTTCCTTACTTTTGTGTGTGCGATGTGGAAAAAGAGAAAAAATCGGAGAAAACCGAAATCGCGATAAAGATTGGAATTTTATTGTACAGTTAGCTTTGAGAGTAGCAAGTGTTGAGCAAAATGAGGGTCTTCGTCCGGGAGCGGCAGCAAAAAATTCCTTACGATCGCAATATTTTTTTCTCACAATTTTTGCATCGGATAGGCTAATTTTGTCAGATTTTTTTAATACTTTTGATGATTTATGGGACTTTTTGAGATGAAAATTTGAGGGTCTCTAAAATTATTAAGTCAGCTAAAATTGAGAAAAAAAAACAAAAAATTTGTAAAAATATTAAATTAATTCTTTAATTTTTTTTCTTCAACTTTTTCAATTTTTATTTAAACTTTCCAATTTTTTGTGTGTTTTAATATTTTTCAATTTTTATAATTTTTTTCAATTTCATCAGTTTCTTCAATTTTTTCGACTTTATCAATTTTTTCATTTTGTATAAAATTTATTAAATTTTTAAAAATTTAATTTTTGCATTTAATTCAAACATTTCTTTAAAATCCCCAAAAATCCTCTCAAGGAAAAAATCACATTTCATCCAAAGATTTATCACTTTATTCTCAATTGTTATTTGCCTTCCTTCATCTCCTATTTATTTCATGCTCTACTTGTGCATGTGACGGCAATTTCTTGCGTATTTTAATTAAAGAAAAAAAAAAATAAATTGATAATAAAAATAAAATTTATTGTAAGAATTTTTTGGTACAAAAGCTGACCCTCCCAATAAAAAAATAGAACAGAATAAGAAGAAGGCATGACAGCTTTTGTCCTCGATATTCCCTTTTTTTTTTAACAAACGATGAATAAAATTGACTTAGAGTGAAATTGAGTTTGCGATGAAATTTTGGGTCAATTTCAAATTGTGACTTATTTCCAGTGGGGATGTATGGGTGATTTATTTATATCGGAAAAGGTATTGAGCTATGGAAGAGATTTTGTTTTGAAATGTGTCTTTTATTCTGGAATTTAATGGGTTCTGTAGACATAGATACTTTCAAGGATGAATTTAATTAAATTTAAAATGATTGTGAATTTTGAAATGAAGGTTTGAAAGGAATTGAACCTGAGTAGTCCAAATTTTCTGAATCACAGTCACTAGTCGTTTAAACTAGCTTTCTTATGTTCGAATA